GCAATCCAAAAAGCTAAAAGGAAGTCCATTTCCTTTTGTAAAAAAGGCAGCAAAAGAAATGGAAGACCCCCTTGGCTCAACAGGGAAGTCATGGACCTCCTGAAATTAAAACAAGAAACCTACAAAGGATGGCAGTCAGGAATAATTACCGAAGAGGAGTACTCAGCAACAGCCTGCGCCTATAAAGAGCAGATCAGGACAGCAAGAGCACAAACCAAATATAGGTTGACAACCAGAATCAAGGATAACACAAAGTCCTTCTTTAGATATGTACGAAGTCAGAGAAAATATAAGGGAAGCATAGGGCCCCTGATGAATGAAATGGAATGGCTAATAACTGACACTCAGGAAAAAAACAAATTCCTGAATGAATACTTCACGTTGATATTCCACCAGTCCAAGGGTGTTAGCCTGCTTGACAGCATACAGGATGATCATGGTGGGGTGACCACCCCCCTCATAGTTGACATAGATCTTGTGGGGGAGTACCTGCACAAAAGCTAAATATCTACAAGCCAGCAGGACCAGATGAACTACACCTGAGGGTGCTAAAAGAGCTGGCCGATGTCATCACGTGACTGATGGTAAAGTTATTTGAAGACTTGTGGCATTTGGGAGAGCTCCCAGAATATTGAAATAAGGCCAACGTGGCACCTATCTTTAAGAAAAGGAGAAAGGAAGACCAGGAAATTACAGGTCAATCAGTTCAACCTCAATCCCTGGTAAAATTCTGGAGAAAAATTATCAAATAATCTATTACAGACAGCTTAGCAGAAGCCAGTATTCAGAAGGATAGCCAACATGGCTTCATTATGGACAGATCATGCCAGACCAACCTCATTTCCTTCTATGGTTAGGTTACACTCCACCTGGATGGGGGAAATGAAGTTGATGTCATATACCTGGACTTCAAAAAGGCCTTTGACTTCATCTTCCACGAAGCCCTCACAAGAAAATGGGGAAAATGTGGCCTCGACTACTTTACAGTCCATTGGCTAGGAAACTGGCTCCGTGGTAGGACCCAGAGAATATTGATTGACAGAACTGAGTCATCATGGCGTAGGGTGACCAGTGGCCTCCCTCAGGGTTTAGTAATCAGACCAGTGCTTTTCAACATGTTCATTAACAATTTGGATTTAGGTATTAAAAGCAAACTAGCAAAGTTCACTGATGACACCAAACTATGGGGGAGTGTGGTCATGCTTGAAGGCAGGCTGGCAATACAAGCCAACCTAGACAGGCTCGCAAGGTGAGTGGACCTCAACCAGATGTCGTTTCATATGGAAAAATGTAAAGTGCTCAATGTCCAGTTACACATCTGACTACATGGGATCTACTCATTTGTAAGATCTCTTCTCTCCCTGTGCCATTCTGCCACAGCAGAGGTCCCTGAGCTGAAGTCCCACATATAGGAAAGGAAAGGGGCAGCTGAAAGGGTATTCTCTCCCTGACCTTTCAGTTTTGGAATGTATTTTTTTCCTCTTTCCCCAGTCCAAAAGTGCTATAATCTGGTGAATTTCTAGGTAGATTATAAGGCACATGTGTTCCCTGAGCTCAGAGAAATTGGAAGGGTTCTGCTGGATGGTCATAAACAATGGATTATGATTTTAGCTGCTTTGCTGTGATTTATGTTCCTTGGATAAAAGGGCGGTCTTGCTATGTAACCTGGTTTTTAAATATGTCAAGGAGAGCCGCAGGCAAAAATGTAAAACACTTCTTTTTATGGAATGTAGCTATAAAGTTTAAAAACCAAATAAATTAATATTATATAATTGTGAGCTTGCAGCACTGCTGTCTGTCAGACATCCCAGTCTTGGATCACTGCCTGACTTGTCAGCATTTACAGGCTGAAAAGCATGCTTCCCTGCTTTATTCCCTGATCCAGTCTACATTCTGTTTCCACCCATGTCAATAAACTGTATTTGAATACATCTTTAAAAATAAATAGTTTCAGGAGTTCTTGGGTACCCAGTACAGCAGTCAAACCATCACACTACAGCCATGACCCCTCTTCCTCACCTTTGAAGTAAAAAGGCAATACCAGTCATCAGGAATAAAAGACAGTGCATTGAAGGGAAATGTCCTATGAGTAAATGCCTTAATGCAAAGCCTGGGAGTCACAAAGCAGTGAATTACAGTTTCAAACAAAACAAGAACTGACACTTTTTAAACTGCTTTTAAATCCAAAGGACGCAAAAGTGCTTTCCAAACTAGGGAATATAACTTAATAAAAATGAGAGAATGTTAGGGCCCAAATATATAAATGTAGGGAGTACCACAAGTATAACAGAACAGCATAGTACAGAACATTTAGGACAAGAAATAAAGAATACTTGATGCTTTCCCCTCACATGGGGCTCAGTTGCAACTTGGACAGCATGCAGAGCTGTGAAGCATGAGGCTGCTAGCCTGGGTGGTTAATACTGGCCATGGACAGAAGCTCATTTCTACTGTTGAAAATTTCTGGGAAATTTGGTAGAAATCATCCTGGGAGAGCGAGCATACAGACATTCTAGCTTGCAGAACTACCCTTCTCCTGTTGTCCCCAGGCCTTCTCTTGGAGGTGGATCTAGGATTTTGACAAATGAGGTGCAGAAGGTGTGGCACATCATTGCATACAACATAGCACATTTTTCACCAGTTAAAAAGAAACTAGGAACTTTACTACTGTGCTAGGACCCTAGGCTGATATTCCTTAGTTCATCAAGCAAAAAAAAAAAACTTTATTGCAATTTGTACTGATTTGCTGTATTATACATTAAGTATAAAAACACAGCAAAGTATGCAAATAATAAATTGAGGCATTAAAATTAAATAAACACCTTGTATTCAGATTTATAAAACAAAATTTAGTCTTCTTGTGAGTCTTGACAGTGTATCCTACATTTCAGTTATTTCCACGTTTGAGTTAATGTTCAAAATGGCCAGTCCATTGACACACTCTTCCCCATTGGTGAATTAATTCGAGTCTTAAGTCTCCCAGCAAGGATTTTTTGTGATATTGTTTTGGACCAGCTGTATAATTGGGAGAGTTGTTGGATGAGGTGAGACAAGGTGACATGAGGATGGGCTCTTGATGCCCAAAAGTTTGGCCAACAGCTCTTCCAACCATAGGGCTGGTCCAATAAACAATATCACAAAAAATCCTTGCCTCCAGAATAGTAACTAGCAATGTGACTAAGATCTGTAAGGTGTGAGACTGGCACAAGTATTACAGGAGGGTAGAGTGAAGATGGCTGTAGAATAATATGGCTTTGGAAAACCTTAAAGTACCTCCTTTGAAAGCAGGACTTTCACCGCTGCTGTTCTTTGTGCAGCTGCAAGGGATGGGGTGCAGAGCCCAGCTGGCCATGCACATGGAAGAGCTGCACTTTGAAGAGCACGGCTCAGGACTCCATTATGCTTAACCCATTCTCTGTGGACCCATTCAGAGTGGACAGCTTGCTCCCTCACTGCAGCAGTAGCACTGGTTGTGGAAGGGATGGGGGAAGAGGGGATGGGACTTTCCCCAGGAGCAGCATGTGCCCTGGACCCTAGGAGTCCTGCCAGGCTCCCCACTGCATACCCTATCCCTATGGTTCTCAAGCTTTTTAGACTCAAAGCAGCCCTGTGCAAGATTTCAAAATTTACTGACACCCCATTTCAGAAACAAAGATTATATGTATCTGAATATAAACATTACATTATTAAAGTGATATCATATCATATCATATATCTCATATCCTATCGTGTAATTTAACAGTCATACATTCTGATTGCTCCCCTCATCTCTGCCTGGTCTCATGTACATTTGCTCCTGGTGAAGCACATGGGTCCATGTCACTAGTGGGGACTGGGAACTGGTGGGCTAATTTCTGGCCTTATTTCCCCGTAGGGTGATCCCTCTTGAACTCCAGCCCTAGGGCCACAATGGACAAATCCTGGGTATACTCAGTCAACGAGGTAGCGCATGTGTGCCACATGGAGGTGCTGAGGGGATGAGAGGGGTGGGGGCAAGAGAACACATGAGGCTCAGGGAACAGAGAGTCTGTACTGGAGGGAGGAAGCACAGCCCCTGCTGCTGCAGCTACTCCTCTGGGCACTCACACACCAAAGGTCCAGAGCCACCTGACCTTGCAGCTCCTTCAAGCAACTCTGGGCACATGAGAGAAGCTGCAAGTTAAGCCAAGCTGAAATGTGCATTTATGTTTCCATACATTCACTCGCCTGCCAGCCCACAGCAGAGCACACTGCTCAGAGCAGCCAGCGCAGGGGCTGTCAGAAGGTGGAAGGAAGTGGACATGAGTCTGTGGGGCTCTGGGGCAGGTAGGGAGAGGACTAAGTGTCATGATTATCTCCTGGGTCAGGGGCTGGGCACTGTAGCATTCCTGAGGGTTGAGAATTACTGCCCTATCCCCACTTTAAATTCATACCCCTGCTCCCCACACACTTCCCCTTTTACCAACTCACTTCTCTCCCTTCAAACCAGTAGGGTTCCCTCAGCACAGCTACTGAGTGGAGCAGGAATCAGAGGTGTGCATCCAGGCCACTGCATCCCCTTTGGATCCATCCCTGCCTTCCCCAACATGGGGAAGCTGGTGCTTGGTTCTTCCCAATCAGGTAGGAGTTGAGCTTACAAGTGGTTATTCTAGCAAGGGAAGCTCTGTCATAGGGAAGATTTTCAAAGAGTCAAGGTGAAAGATCTGTCATGTGGATGAGGTTTGTTTCTTCTGTAAGAAACTGAATGAACAGCTGTACATGGGCAGTTTCTACTGGGAGAGTGCTAACTGTCCTGATAGAAACATAACACCTGTACATGGCCCAGCATCCTGTCTGGGATATCTCTAAGGTACAAAATATCCTGTAGTGCCTTCAGTCCACTGAACCTAAAGCAGTGGGCACACATTAATGAATTAAGCCCCATCATGCTTCTTATTGATTTAAACCTCACTATGACCCGCTGTGTTGAGGAAATTAAAGCACAGATAGGGTTACATTGGCCTGTTGCAGAGTAAGCCTAGCCATGGTCCTTGTTACACGTTACCTGTAGACCATGAAAAGGCACTTAAAATCTGAGTATCCATGCCTTAAAGCAGGAAAACTTGCACCAAGCATTCTCTGAACATTTCAAAGTTATGCCACTTTGTGCAAGGAGTAACTCTAGGTCCTGGTATCCAATTCACATTGCAGCAATGTCAGTCAGTTTCCATGGAGATAAAATGAGCATTTTTGGGACCTCCAGTATCCCAGAATGCACCACTCCCAGCCCCCCTACTCTCGCTCAGTCAAAAGTCCACCTGCCCCTCCCAGAGTGTGGTACCCAGGGCAGGCAGGGCCCCACCGGTGCTGGGGATGCCATAGCCAGCAGCCCCAAGTCCCCCAAGCTGAGCAGACTGACAGAGTTTGCCTTTCTCCCTTCTGGCAGCTCTGGGCTCCAGCTTCCTCTAGGAGTGAGGAGCTTTTGGGTGGGGGATTTACACAGTGGAAGCATGGAGCTGCCAAGGGAGGAAGCATGCTTCATGCTCCCAGCATGCAAACCCTGCCCCCCAGTGAGTGATTGCAGCTCTGCACTTCTATGGGAAGCCAGAGCATGCAGCCAACAGGAGGAAGAGAGGAAAACTCCATGCTTCTGCTGTACAACTCCCCTCCCAGCAGCTCCATTCTCCAGCATCCCCTCTAAGCATAGAACTGCACCCTCTCTATAGCATCCGTCTCTCCCTCATCCCTACACACCCAAGGACAGGAATGTCAGAGGTGTGGAGAGAGGCCACAGCCTTCACAAAGCTGTGTGGCTATGGGAAAGCCAGTGGGGCTTAAAGGAAATGTGGCCAAGCAACATGGGAAAATTTCAATTAACTGCAAGTGACCACAGTTAACTGAACTTTCCCACAGCTATTGCCTGGCTATGGGTTAAAGGCACAGCCCTCTATGGGAATGCTGGTTGCCCAGTCCCCAAAAAGAGAAGGGCTGGGATCAGGTCAGAGGAGTTGGTAGCCCGCCTGGCATGGGATCAACTGGCTGGGCTTGGCTTAGGGACTCCCCACAGCACAGATTCCACTCCCCCCGCCCACTGCCCCCCAACCCAGAGGACCCTGGCTCCTAGCCATGCCCCTGCTCACCAGCCCTTCAGCTCTAAGTCTGACTTGTTCAGAGATAGAATTAACCCTTAATGTGCAATTGCTCAGAGTATGTTTTAACTTCAACACTGCATGACATTCCCTAGGTTTAGCACATGCAAATTGTAGCATGGAACAACCACCTCTGACAACGCTTCGCTTGGCAGCTGATAGACCCTCAACATTAAGTTGTAAGATTTAGAGTTCAGGCCCAATGGCATGAAAGCTATAGGATTGCACACCATCTGATCGGTGGCAGTAACACAGGGATTCTTCAAAAACTTCTCAGAATTTGGTTCACTAAGACAGAGGTACCTAACCACTGGGCCATGGCCTGGTACTGAGCCATGAACGGGTGGCTGTCAGGTTGCAGCATGAGCTGTAACTAGCTCCCCATGGCAGTGGCTTAGACCTCGTTCGCTCCTCAGGTGCGCGCTGCCCGCAGCTACATCCCTCCACCCAGCCTGGTCCCACAGCCCCTCGCTCCCATCCTGCTCCGCTGCCAGTCAGCAGTAAAAAAAGTTGGGAATGACTGCACTAGAAGGATCATTAGTTTCCCTGGTGTGGACCAGGTGCTAACCGTTGGTGCGACATGAATGCTGGTCCATTGCCCATGACACAACTGCTGGCAAAGCTTGGAATCTTGGCTATATACCTTATCCAACTAGATCCCACTTCTTTATAACTAATGGCATCCCAAAGAATAACATTGCAATAAGAGAGGGCATCAAGCATTGAAACATCTAAAAAGTCCACAGTAGGGTTTTAATACCAACCTGAAGCTTTAAAAAAAAAAAAAAAAGGCAGTGCGGGGCTTTCTAGATGTCAAATAGGATTTTCATTTTATTTTTAGATATCTCACTTAGGATGTAAGATTTTAATTTATGGCATAACTCAGTCCATTTGGCTGCTGCTACAGCTCATGGTAGCAGTGGCTTCTACTTATGCATACTGTGCTCATCAGTGATATTATGCAGCTGATATACAGCACTTCTTTTGTTCATTTCTGGTTTTGATCTACAGCATTTGGGGATGAACAGTTCCTTTCAAGATATTTGCAAACCTTGTCAGAGTCTGATTGCAGCATGACATTGACATCAGTCTGATTATTACTTGTCTCAGGAATCACTGTATTTATGAACGCATTGGCTTTCATGTGATCATCAAGATAGCTATTAGTGTACAGTGCAAATGGCAGCAACTCCTCAACAAAGTCCTGCTGACACTGCTGAAAAGAACAAGATTCAGTCTTGCTGAAAGTGCTGGAAATCTGCTAATGACTTTTCAAAACTTTCTTTGTCAGGCATACTTCTTACAGAAGGGCTGCTCAACACTCAGCCCACAGGCCACATCTGGCCTGCAGAGCCATGGGATCTGGTCTGTGGGGCTCCTCATAGGTCAAGAAATTTGGTGGCAGGGGGAGCTATGGCAACTAATACTGCCTCCCCATGTAGCTGGATTGGGGTTGGGCCATGTTCCTCCCCCTGCTCAGCCAGATTGGGGTCAGACCATGCACCCTCCCTCTGCTCTCCTTCCCTTGTAGCAAGATCAGGGCCAGGCCACCCTCTCCCTCCTGCCCCTGTGCCAGATCCAGCCTGCAGATGGACCAGGCACTGTCCATCCAAAAGTTGGACACCATTGTCTTACAGGACTCAAACATACTGCTTCGTATGTAGCAGCTATGACTTAACATCCAAAATATAGCTTAGGTCTGCTAGAAAATATGACTACTCTGCATATCATTGATTAGGATATGTAATATAATGATAGCAAAAATGGTTTTAACATTTATACAACAGCTTTCATCCCTAGAGTTCAGAGCTCTTTAGAAAGTTAGAGAAGCTCCATTATGCCCATTCCGAAGATAAGGACAAGGGACAGAGTTAAACTGATTTCCCCAGTGTCCCACAGTAGCCAAAGTGGGAATAGAACTCATGTCACCCACACCCTTTCACCCTGGAGTAAATTTTTGAATTGCTCGTCTCAAATACAGAGCCTATCATGGAAGCAGGCCCATTATGCTAAGACAGTTATATCTACACAATAAAACTTACAGCTCCTGACAACAGTGCCCTCAAGATACTTCAGACAGACTCCCTCCTATACCAAAAGCTATGGAGCCACAGTTGGATATGAGGGGTTAACTGATTACTACTCAGTGGTGCAACTTAGCACATGACACAGAGGTGGTTTGGAAAGCAGCCCCCCTCAGAGCAATACAGTATGCTTGCAGGTATTGCTGCCAGTGATGTTGAGTTTACTGTACACACGCTGCCAGTTTCCTATTTCAGCAATAATTGGTATATATTCTCATCCAAACACATAGAGAATTCATCACACAAATTCCTAGTAGCCTATTTTCCTTTATATGCAGTCTGCTGAGATTTCATCTTACCCATTATCTGTTTATTATCTGTTGTGTAAATTTCCAACAGAACACTAATACTGAATACTAATAATGTTTTTGAATTCTTCAGCTCAATGATCCAGGGGCTCTAGGCCATAAAGCTCAAAGAAGTTTAATAAAGTTTCACATATAAACTGACTTGTCTGCTTATATGATCATGCAGAGATAACCACCTAAAATCTAGTCAAGGCCAATGGGAGAGGTAGGTGCTTAATACCTTTGAAAAGTCAGCCTCATTGGATGATATATACTGCCATGATGAGTTGTGCAGTAAATTTCATCTGTTCAAATTTTTGGATCTCTCCAAATATACAGTCAAGCTGTAAGGCCTTAATGGACACGCTAATACAAGTTACATGCTCAACATCAAGGGTCACATATGATTCTGGCAGGAACTCACAAAAAGTTAGAGAAAAGCCAACTTATATGTAGTACAATATGAAATACTGGCTGTAATAGATTTACTGTGTTTGGTATCCATGGACTATGGTACTGAAAGCAGCAATGGATCCTGCTGCAAAAGCATTTATAAATCACTGATTAGTATTGTAAGCATATAAGAATTCATAGAGACAATACATGAGGAAAAAGCAGAAGTGGTAAGAGAAGAAAAGAATGCGAGAAGAGACAGATGAGAAAAAGAGGAGAAAAAGGGCACTTCATGTAAGCTTATGAAGCAAATAGAGATAGCTGGGTGAGACATGATTAAGGAAATGGGAAGGAAAAGAAGTTATCAGAAATGAGAAAAGGAGGAGGGTGTGATTCATTTTATTCACTGATTCTGTTTCCTTTTCTTCTCTCTTTGACCCTTCCCATCTTTTCTTTTTCTTTATTCCCATTCCTTTTATGTTTTCTATTCACAAGGGATAAACACATATTTTCCAATCTAAAATTACTTATTCTTGATTACAGTAAATGGTGATCAGTCTTTCTGGGACTGCAATGAGTGTTCATCTCCCCTTATAAAAGGTAGCAGCAAACCTGAAGGCAGAGCCAATCCTATAAATTCTTTGAGCCACTGAGTAATGAATATGACTCTGCATTTAATTAGCAGGGCTCAGCCCTAGACAGGCATACCCAGTAATTTTCATCTTGAGATAGAGACAAAACTGTTAGAAATCTAAAAGGGTTCTATGAAGGAAAGTCTGTTTCATACATAGATACAGATGTAGCCATTTTTTCATTCCCTAGCTATCCAACTCATTTGAAGGTTGGCTACTTCAGACTACTAAAATGCAGGCAGGAAAGGGGAGGGGTCCTAGATTTCTACAGGTATCTGATCAAATATTGGCAGGTTTGTATATTTTCCACCAAGCAATATGGAAAGTCAAATAAGCCAATTTAAAAATCCTCCAGGCGGGGAAGAGAACCTCTCCTCTGCACTGAAACAGCTGAGCTAACAGAGTAAGCTTTCTTTTTCACTAAGTAGATTGGTACAAATCTCTGTTTATTTTAGCATTGTCAAATGTTCCAGCAAAACCCTTGGGATATGTTGCATATAGTTCCCATTAGTACTAATGGAATTATGTATCAACATTGGAAAATGTTCATTAAGGAAAGATGGTGACCCCTTTCCTCTTATTGGCAAGCAGCTACTTGTCATCTTTTGTAAATGTGGAGATCTCCACATAGGTAGGTATTTCAGGGCTGGCTCCCAGCTGTGGCCTTTATTTGTTACAAAAGTTCAGTAATAATAAATATTAAGTGTGTAATTATTATTTTAAAAGAATGAATCCAAATTCACAACAAAGAACTTAGTGGGTAAGAGGACAGAAAGAATAAGGACTACAACTCTGTTTGGAAAAATGTGCTCTGAGCAGGGACAAATTCTGCTATCCATATAAGACTGTAGACAGTCTTATATACATAAGACTCTGGGAGGCTGGTCTGAATGAAAACTAAAACACTGATCATACATGCATACATGTGAAGTAGTAGGCCTGATCCATATACGAGGTGATTTCTATGTCA